AATTCCATTTAGTTTATTTATATATCGCCAAGTCACAACAGAAGTCATCATTTATACTTAAAAATAATAATTTAACATTATTTATCTGAGGAGCAGAGTGCTTTGAATTTAACTCCATCACAGACTCTCATTTTGAGCAAGCATGAAGGCGACAGTGGAAAGGAAAAACTCCCTCATGAGGAATAGATATCAGAGTCAATCAGAGTAAGAGAGAAAGAGAGATTTATTTGTCATTCACATCTCATGTGGTACATGAGGTGGAACAAAATTATGTACACAGGGTCCCAGTTACATCCAACAATAAAATGTAAAAGAAAAACAATGATAACATCTAAGATATGAACTAAGAAAAACATCATCTACACTAAGCACTGTGTCGAACAGCAGCACGAACATGAGTCTGTGTGAGCAGATGAGCACGAATGAACACAGCAACATGAAACAGATCAGCAGCAACATGAAACAGATCAGCAGCAACATGATGTGATTTTCAGTGATTATCCTGATTAGAGATTCATGAGTCTAACAGCTTCAGGGTAGAAGCTGTTCCTCAGTCTAGTGGTTCTACACTTAATGCTCCTCAACCTCCTTCATGAGGGGAGCGGGTCAAAAAGTGTGTGTGCTGGATGAGTGGGGTCCTTCATGATGCAGGTGGCCCTCTTCCTGCATCTAGAGGTGTATATGTCTGTGATGGTGGGGAGACTGACTCCAACATCTTCTGTGCAGCCTTCACCACTCTCTGCAAAGCTTTTCTTTCTGCAGCTGTGCAGCCTCCATGCCACACGTTGATGCTGGAGCACAGGACGCTCTCCACTGCACACCTGTAGAAGGAGGTGAGGACTGAGCTTCCCAGACCAGCTCGTCTCAGCCATCTGAGGAAGTAGAGTCTCTGATGAGCTTTCTTCATCAGGCTGGTGGTGTTGTTGCTCCAGCTGAGGTTGTCATTCAGGTGCACACCCAAGTGCTTGTAGCTGGAGACCACTTCCACCGCAGATCCTCTTATGTTCAGGGGGTGTAGGTGTGTTTGTTCCTTCTGAAGTCCACAATCATCTCCTTTGTCTCCTTCACATTGATGTGGAGGTTATTCAGTGGTGTAGTCTACATTTTTGTAGTGGGCATACTGTGCTTAGTGTAGAATGAACATATGCTGATATATATTCATAAATTAAACGGATTCTTTCATTTTTCTGGACTGTATAATAACGTGCATTGAATTTAATAAAAATGTGGATGGAAACGTGTTTATCTTTGACTCACCAACGACAGTGGGTCATTTATTAACAGAAAATCAGAAAATGCATAATTACTCTGTAACAGACCTTAACATGATTTATACTTTGCATGAGGATTAAAATCATTATTACTGTTTCACAGTTAATTAAAAATGATTAGTTCACTGCAACATCTAAAATGGTTTGAACTAAAAACACTTTGATTATCAAACATTTGTAAAATAGTAATGATAATAGAAAAGAGAGTGTTCTTTCACTTGATTAATTCAAGAAAGAAAGTCTCAGGATGGGTCAACCTGTATTTCTGGATTCAAATCAATGAAATGACAGCTTCTGTCCCATAAGGTCCTTAAGGTCAGGATTTGACCTCAGGCTTAGTTCACTACATTAGAAACCAATGTACACCGGTTAATACACTGTAATCGTCAATTTATTTTGATTTTTAAATATATTGAACATTACCAAATTCCTCTTATGCTTATATTTTAATAAATGTACAACAAACTTTGTACAACAATTGGCTTTGTATTTAAAACATGTTATAGAATTTATAAAACAGTTTCAAAGCAAAATATGTTCAAGTATTAAGTACAGAATTACACAATAGTTTGCTAAATAAGCGAATGTAATAAACAAGCTCTGCATACAGATAAGATTGTTATGGAAGCGTTTAACTGCCGTTTAACGTATCAGTGACACATGTCTAATGATATGTCATGTATCACAGGGCACTTTAGTGGGTATACTAAAATTCTTAAGCTTTTCTAGTGGGTATACGCCGTATACCCGCGTATCGCGTGGACCACACTACTGAGGTTATTCTCTTTGCACCAGCTCTCCAGATGTTCCACCTCCTGCCTTTATGAATAGATATGAAAACCTCTGCAGGCATGCTGGATGATTAAAGCAGAGTGACAGAGCAGCTGTGTATGACAGCAGACACACGCACACACATACACAAACATCATTCATCTCCATCTTTAGTTGCACAGCCAGAGGTGCACACGTTAGCATTCAGCTGATATATACCAGACTCTCATCACTGTCAGCCTGCATGTCAAACACATTCAGCATTATAGTTTAATTAATTAATTACTTTAAAACTCTTTATTTTTTCACTTTTTCTATGATCTTGTGACAGATTTAGGAGGTTTCAAGTGTTTGACTTACGCTGCTTAATATCATGAAGATGTTTGTTTAAAAAATCATTAAAAAAATAATTTATACCTTATTTGAAATATAAATATGATTTATTTTTTATTTTTATGAAAGTCTGTCTCTTTGGAGGTGTGTGTAAGGTCTGATGGAGTCAGACTGTTACACAGAAGGTGTTGTCTGCATTCATGTCTGTGTCAAGTTGCACCTTAGGAGATAAGAAAATTGTTTTACCTCTGGATGTAGCTTTGTTCCTTTGAACTTTGGAGAATTTTGGAAGATTTTTGAAAATAAACCCACAAGCACACAGATTAAGCTGCAATTTTAGCTCTGTTCTGGGTTTTAATGACAAACATGTCCGTACCTACTGGTCACCGCATGCCGGTCTTTCATCTCTGACCTCTCAAACCAAACATGGGGGCAGGACCTCACCATGGACCTCTGAAGGACCCCCAGCAGACCTCCGTGGATCTGTCCGACCTGTAGACGATGACGTATGAGAACACCTGGCACCAAAGACACACTTGTCACTGGTGGACACTCACCATGGCGTAGCAGCCGTCGTTGGCCAGAATGACCACATCAATGGGTGTGGTGTGATTTGCGACACATATTCCTCCTTTCTGAGGCCTGTTCTCTCTGCAGATTCAGAGGGAAGAAGTGTGGTAGAAAACTGAAGAAACACTCTGAATGAACCTTAACTTTAGCTGAGTGCAAGCTTACTGACTTGTTGTGGTAGTGAATGGTGGCGGACAGTCCTCTGGCACAGATCCTGTAGCAGGTCTGGTGGACCAGCTCACTCAGCCAGTTCTTCCCTCTAACACATGCACGCAAAGAAAAGTGATTTAGAGTTTTCAAATGCGATCCAGAGGAACATTTATACATTGATGTTTTTAGATCTTCTTTACCTGCTTTCAGGAAGAAAACCCACCAGAGTTGTTCCTATCACGAGCCATGAGAGACCGATGAAGGCCAGAGTGATCCTGCAGGAACACAGCAAGTCTCCTTCTAGTTACAAGCTTGTAGTAGTTTGTTCATTTTTATAAAGAAAGAAACCCTACAGGCCTATCTGTAAAACTTCAGAATACTTGACTGACAGAAAAGTATTTACTAAATGCGTTTCTTTGACTTGATGCTAAGTTGAATAACAAACTGTATGCAACCACCAGCGTTTCAGTCAGTTTGGGTACTTGGATCAATTTCTTGCACTGACAACACAGTATGTTCCTTTTCGAGGGCAGGAGGTTTAACTACCGTATTTTCTGCCGTACCTGTCACACTGCCATATAAGTCGCATCAGTACACATATGTCTAATAAAGTGGAAAAATACATAAATATGTTGCTTTGCCGTATATGTCGTATATTTTGCGTCACTGATGACGCGTCGCATTTGTTATGCGTCACCGCTGACAACCCGGAAATGTGGACTGGTGTTGTGCTAAAAATCGATGGGCTGCCAAACGGCGGCCACGGGATCCTGCACAGGAGGACTTTTAAATGCTCTTTAATGGTCAAATCAGTTGCATTTCGCCGGGACGGTGCAGCTGGTTTGACAGTTGCTCCAAGCAGCGAGCAGAACGAAGGTGGGGCGACTGTGGCAAGCCGATTGTGTCATTACTAGCTGGTGAAGATTCTCAGTCATCCAGGACATGCTAAATTCCAAAAAGTTCCAGGAAAAAAACAATAAAATATAAAGTATAATAAATAAAGTCCAGTTGTTTTTGTATTGAACATTTTTGAATTTGTCATTATAGCCACGTTTACCTATTACATGATACAACGGCATGCCACACTGCTACTAGTACTCTGCTGCCATCTAGTGGCTTAAAATGGTATTGTTAAAAAAATTGAGTCAGAATGAATGAAAACGGTCATATCTCAACCAAAACTTGGTTTATAAATATGGGGAAAAATCCATAAATATATCGCTTCGGCCTATAAGTTGCAGGTCATGTTAATTATGCAAAAAACTGCAACTTATATTCCGAAAAATACGGTCGTCAGTTTGCCACACTTGCACTGCCAGAAGAGATGATTGATTGTTCGGTGTCAGACTGACCTAAGAGGTAGGAGGATGCAGTATCGCACAAACACTCCAAAGCCCCAGATGATGGTGAGTCGAAGGCTGACGTACTGGAAGTTCTGATTGGTGCGGGTCAGAAGGTTCCAAGAAACCAGCTCCTCGGAGGAGAAGCGCTGCGTCACCTCATCTTCCACAATGCTCTCTAAACCCTTCTTATGAAAATAGATGACATCACTCAGGGCGAACTCCTTCCCTGGAAGGGGTCGAGAGCGATGCAGCTCCCACATCTCCTCCTTCATGGAGCCCTCAGCTCGCTCAATGATCCCTGGAAAAGACAGTCACCAAACTTGAGTACTCACAAGAAAAAACATGAATGTAAAGATCAATAAAAACAGGAGACGTTATTAAAGAAACACAGATGAGTTCCCCAGACCCTGATCAGTTTGCCAAAAACACATTAACGTTCAATAACACTAGTGGTTCACCAATGTCCCCAAATCGATGAGGGATTTGGCGCAACCATAGATTAATCTTTGGCCAGCCCAATTGTTTGAGAATATTATACTTTTAATCAATATAAAAACTAGAAAGCTCATAAATTTGGTGGTGACCATCTTGGATTCTGACTTGGAAATGCAATTTTTGATTGTGATCTTTTTTGATGCAGCCAAACATTAACGTGGAAGTCGGCACATTGCTCGTTTATCAATTTATCGAGCTCACGAGGTTTACATATACATATACAGTGGCAGCCATCTTGGATTTTGATGTGACAACAACATTTTTAATGGTGACCTTTCTTACACCCAGATGCAGCTATACACCAAAACAGACATTGGCATGTTGCTTATTTTTCAAGTTATCCAGCTCACAAGATGGGCGGACATATACGGTATAGTGGCAGCCATCTTGGATTTTGACATGGCTACCCAGTTTTCTTATACCTAGATTTCACCAAACTCCAAAATGGAAGTAAGTAACTAAAATTTTTCAAATTATCATGCACGCAACACGCACAAATGGACCAACGGAGGGTACGTCTAATGCCACCTCTTTAGAAAAACAAATCAAAGATTAATAAAAACATGGTGACAGTTAAAACACACTGTGGATTTTAATAAATAAGAGTTCAATGTTGTTAAAAACACAACAGAGGTCAGTTAAATGCACCCCCCCCCCCCTCCAGGGTGCCAGAGAAAAAACTAAACCACAGGTCATATTTGCTCCCTCAGTTTAATAAACCTTGCATTCAGCTCTGTGCGAGCATTTGCTCAATTTCTGGGCAAAAAAATTGAACAAATGCCTAATTCCAGGATCAATAACTTCTCAGCAATCCACCAGAACACCGAAAAACCACATTAAATACCCGACAGCCTAATTTCTAAAGAAGTGATGCTCTGAGCTAGACGAGCTCTCAGGAACCATCAGTGAAGTAGCACGAGAATCAAAAATTTCCAAAGTTTTACAAACGGGCATGTTTCTGGTTTAACTGCTAGAAGGTCATTAAAAGAGACAAATGTCTGATTCCTCTAAACGTCTATTGAGATGACAACGTTCCCTAAACGTTTGTTTCCCGTTCAGTGGTGCATTTATTTCTGTTTCCTCACCCGTGCTGAAAATAAAGCTAAATCGTTACCACCTTTATTTTCTATCTCACACCTTGGCCATTGATGGGTTCCATAGTTGAGAATAGTTTAAAAACAAGACAAAACCATGAATATAGTTGTGTTAAAGCAGGGTTTAATCATTCATAGTCCTAGAGGGTAAACCTACAAAGAGCTTCTCCCTCTGGGATCAGAACTTCCGTCTGCTGGTTGAACAACAGGTGACACAGAAAGCTGGATCCACTGAGATTTATAAAGAAATGAGCTGAGGATCCTATTTCTGCTCTTTTCACTTCTGCAAAGGTCTTTTGTACAGCGAGACCCCCATTAGACTGCACACCTGTGCTGTTCTGGGCCTTCATGGTAACAGTACCAGGAGCTGGTTCTGACCCACTATTGCAATGATGGCCGTGCTAGGAAACCTGAAACCTAAATGAGATTAAAGCAGGAGCTGCAGCCGAACTGTGTGTTGAATTGATGAACTCTGAGAGTCACGAGGCTGCCGACCTCAAGTTTAACCCCACGAGTTTAGTCTGTGAGGAAACGAGTGCAGCAGCACTTCAGCACACAGCAAGTCCATTATTGTGTACTTTGTGAGTGACACACTGAGGCGATGTAAGCACACACAGAACAAACTGGGGTGCACTGAGGGTCCTGACACCTGTTTTAAGTTACAATGAATGTTTTGATCAACTTGAGCTCCAGTTGCTCTTCTGGTGCAGTAGTTCTCAAACTGGGGCCCCGGGACCCCCGGGGGTCTGCGAGCTGGTGCTTGGGGGGTCCTCAATTTTTTTTATTTTTTTTTACAAGCACATAGATGTTTAACAAGCCCGTTAAAACACACCAAAATAGTTTTATCTCTTTGTGTTCACGTCTTTTCATCTTTTCTCTCCAACAATTGGTCAACAAGCTGAATACAGTTTGTCAGTATTTGTCTGTTCCTATTTACTTTTGTGGGGGTGTTTTGTCACTGATAAGAGTTTTGAGGTATTAAAACTGTGGTTACTGTTGATACCGTGTACTCTTTATATTCTGTTTGTTGCAGTAAGTTAGCTGTTTGCTGTTTATTGATTTTTACCTAAAAATTGTTCTTGAACATCTGGAATGGTTGCTTCTGGTTAATGGTCAAACGTAAATTTAACACATGGCAGCAAGCTGAGCCAGCGTGTTTTGGAATCGGTGTGTTCATTTGTGTGCACACGCTTATATGCACGCGCACGTGTGTGTGAGTGTGACTAAACTCCCTGTGGATCCTCGTCTGCTGTTTGGCCAACATCATGCAACCTGCTGTTGCATCATGATCCTGAGACAAACCCTGTGTTTTCTCACAGTGAACGATGTCAGCCGCTGCAGCTGACCAATGGGAAGCCCCGACCCTTGCTCACACAGTGTCACATGATCTTTGTGTGCTGCCGAGAGAAATCCCTCAGGCAGCACATATACACAGCATGGTGACCCAAACAAGGAACTGCTGAGGTCCGCCTGTCAGTCACACGGTTCAGCTCCTCTGTTCACACAGTTTTGGTTTAATCTCTTTAAATATTTATATCTTCTCCAACACTTTCTTATGTTTGGATACTTTTTGTTTCTATATATGTATATATATATATATATATATATATATATATATATTTCACATAATTAACATATACTACAAATACAAATATACAATTATTATATAAATTAATTATTTATTAATTATATATGTTAATTATGTGCTATATATCCATCCATCCATTTTCTTTACCCGCTTCTTCCATTTTGGGTCACGGGGGTCACCGGTGCCCATGTCCAGCAGTCACTGTGTGAGGGGCGGGGGGCACCCTGGACAGGTCTCCAGTCCATCACAGGGACACATAGAGACAAACGAGACAAACAACCATTCACTCTCTCACTCACACCTAGGGACAATTTAGAATTACCAATCAGCCTAACATGCATGTTTTTGGTCTGTGGGAGGAAACCGGAGCACCCGGAGAAAACCCACGCATGCACAGAGAGAACAGGCAAACTCCACCCGGAAAGGCCCCGGACCGGGATTTGAACCAGGGACCTGCTCACTGAGAGGCAGCAGCTCTACCAGTTGCATTTTAGCTTATATAGCTACCTTGAAATACTTATTAATTCAAATTCATCCTGCTTACACCGTTATATTCTACCATGTTGTTGTTTACGCTCTCTGTTTAGAACATTGTAAATGTTATAATTATTTTTTTTCACTTTTTGCTACTGTTTTTTGTGTTCCCTTATTGTATGATTTAGTATTTCTTGATTGTTTCTTCTTTGATTTTTTTTTTTTAGTGAGTCAAATCGGTTCTTCTCATCCTGAGCATTTCATTGTACTGTTAATATTGTGTTAACTTTGCATATGACAAATAAACACAACTTGAACTTGTTGGGTTCAGAATTACCTGTAGGCAACGTGACGGGCACGCCTGACTGCTGCTGCCGCCCTCGCTGGATGCGTAACGTGGCCCACTACAAGCACAGAGATATTCAGAGGGCTTCCCGCGACACGCTGCGGCTCGTTTCAGGAAAATCCCAAACTCAAACTGAACTGAAAATGCAGAACATACCTCGAGGATTTTGACCAGAATCTGGATGTAAACTCCAGTCACCCCCAGTGAGAGACCAAACATGGCTGGCAGTGTGATGAGGAACACCACCACGAACATCCACAACTGGAAGACGACCGCAGCCACACACCACAGGGTCTCCATCGCTGCGGCTCTGACGTCACCTGATCATCTGCACAGTCAGTTCATGATGGCACGTCAGAGCCAAACTGTTTAACAGCCTTTGTTCACATACGTGGTCCTGTCCTCTTCAGGATGAACTAAAATAATTGATACACCTTTGATAAGACTCACTCATAACAGCTGTTATTATAACAATTAGTTTTATGTTAGTTAATTACAATATTATAATTATTTATATTAGTTACAGTCCAGGAGGTCTCACTACTGACACAAAAACAACTAATTCAATGTGGCCAATTTTACTAGTATAATATTTGTATTAAACATGGTCATAATGACAACATAACCACATCATCATGTTTATTCATTTTAAATACCATTTTTATTCTTGAACTAATTGTGGTGAAAATATGCCATAAGAAATCATTTATATTAAAAACTGATATCTGGAGATTATCTAAAGGCCTTCACCTGTGTTTCATGACACATGTTGGGTCACCTGTGCATTTTACGAGTGCAGTGGCGCCTCCACATGTTTTTATTGGGTGGCCATTTGGTGGCCACTGAAAATAGCGCGCGCTCTCTGGCCTTCATTACCTGCAGCGTCCCCTCAGTGTGGACTGAACTCAGCAAAAAGGCCTTTTCTTACCTGTATCCTGGAACACCCTGCAACAAGAACTGAAGCTGTCCACTTTGGTTTCTTTAAGGGATTTTAAACATTTAATAAGGTCAGTAGAAAAATCTAAGCAAATATGTTCTTGTTTTTAGTATTTTACCTTGTTTTATATGGCACTTTGATTTTATGATTTTATTGTTTTAATAACTATGGTTTTTAATTGCTTTTATTGTTGTGTATTGTTGTTCATTGTATTATACTGTATATGTTGTCTGTCTAAAACATGTCACTCTTGAAAATGAGTCATGACTCAATGAGACTATCTGCAAAAATAAAGGTTAGATGAAAAATAAAAAGAGAGAGAATTAAAAACTAAAATCTTGTCATCAGAACCAAAATCCATCAAAAACATTTCAGATTTATTATATCGCTGTCAAATATTGGTTATTTCAAAACAGACGCTAGGGAATCACCTTCTATAGGTCATCATATTGTTTTAATATTGTTAACATTATTTACAACTCATTGAAGCTTGCCTTCTCCTAAATTTAAATAAAATAAAATATTATGCATATAACCTCCTAAGACCCTGCATCCTAATGTTAAGGACATTGGTTTGAGACTAGTTGTCCTTGATCAGGGGTACTAGATTTTAAGTTCTGTTGTTAATTTCACACTTTCACAAACACCAGCAGTTTTGTTTTGGTTTTTTTTTTGGTTTTTTGTTTTTCAGGGTTGACCATTGCCCCTCCTGGCACCCCCTTGGTGGCGCCCCTGCCCAACCGCTGCAACTTTGACAACTGCCAAACAAATTAACTATTTCTTAAATGCCTTCAATAAATTCAAAGCAGATAGGCTGGATAATTCAAAATGTGATTGTGAAGTTTGATACTGCAGATTACATCAGCCAAAATTAAAAACAGTTATAAACTCTCTTTTAGCAACAAGAAAAATTAAACATTAAATAAAAAGCTTATGTAATTCAAAGAAATGTTTGACAGCAGGATATGGACCGATGGGGAGTGTTTGAATACTTTAAATTATAAATGAGAGCTCAGAAAAGACCGTGCTGTTGTTAAATAAATAAATAAACTCCAGGCTGTCTGTCCCGTTAGTCAAAGTAACAGCACTAACTAAACTAAACCCGGGTTAAAGACTAACCCGGGTTGCCACAGACACGTATATTAGTGAAGAAATGCGTACCTGAGAGCAGCAGAAGGTCTCAAAGGTCCAGGTGAGGAGCAGAAGAATACTCCGGGTGTTTCTCTGCGGATAAAGAGCAGCTCCAGAGTTGGCCTAAGCCACGCCCCCTGCGCGTCACAATGACAGAAAATAAATTCATCATAATCGCAGTGCTAAAGAAAGACCACTAGAGGGCGCACATATAAAATCATAACGTGGCCACATCCTTCTCTAGTCCCTGGCTGTTTTTAAGAAGTATTTCCACTAATTAATATCCACATTTTGGATCTACTTAATTCGTCTTTAATGAATGGTTATGTACCACAGCGTTTTAAGGTTGCTGTAATTAAACCTTTACTTGAGAAGCCTGATTTTGATTCAGGAATTCTGGCCAATTATAAGCCTATGTCTAATCTAACATTCATCTAAAACTTTGTTGAGAAAATAGTTGCAGGTCATACGTGAACATCAGAAATAATCTGTTTGAGGAGTTTCAGTCAGAGTTTAGAGCTTATCATAGCACAGAAACAACACTAGTAAAAGTCACTAATGATATTCTCATGACCTCAAACAATAGACAGGTGTCTCAGATACTCTGTTAGACCTCAGTGCTGCATTTCATACAATTAAACACAATATTTTACTACAGAGGCTTGAATATGATATTGGGATTCACTAACGGCTCTTAAATGGTTTAAATAATATTTATTTAATAGATTCCTGTTTGTAATGAATCTTCTTCATACACCAAAGTTAGTCATGGGGTTCCTCAGGGTTCAGTGCTTGGAACAATACTCTTTACCTTGTACATGCTTCCATTAGGTAAAATTATTAAACAGCATGGGATAAATTTTCATTCTTGTGCTGGTGATACACAATTATAGTTCACTGAACTCCATTTTCTTGTCTGGATGATCCAAATCTTTTTGGACATCACTGCAGGGGAGGTCCTGGTTGTTTTAGCCAAAAAAATTAGAAATACATATTTTTTCATCTCGAGAATATGAACACTGCCACTGACAGAAAAGTCTAATCCATCATGACTGAAGTTGTACATTAGAAATAGCATATTGCTTTCATTATCCTAAAAGTCACCTGGTCCATACCTCTCTGTCTCTTCTTTTACTTTTAGAATAATATTTTAGCCCATCTTTCATTGGGGCTGAACATTATTATTTATATATTTTTTTTTAGCCTTGTAGCAAATTAAGTTAGGGTACTGTACAATTGAAAAGTATTTCAAGAAAACATGGTTAATATTTAAATATTTACTTAGACTCAAGACAATGAATAACTTTGACTCTGATTTTAGGAATATAGACCACATACTGTTATTTAATTTAAAACAGTGTCACAAAAAATTAACTTACTCTTCTGTGTTGTTTTTGTTTGCTTGTTTGTTATTCACAAAAAGTCCACCGTGGTTCAAACTTAGCTGTCATACAAAATCCACTGTTAAAATAAACAGTGCAGCTGAACGTTTTGAGGTTTTTTTTTTTTAAGTAAAAACTTAACATCTGAGAGCTTCATGAATCCTGAAATAAACATATTTACAATTTTATGCAATTTGTTACTTCAGTAATTTTTTTTAACTTAAAATACATTCAAAGAAACATGAACAATTGGTGCTCTGAATGATTCTATACATTTATGTTATATTTTGATCCATATTTTGTAGTAAATATTTTGCAGTTCACCGAGACTGTTTTATCTCCATTGCTCTGTATAATTTGATGACACCTGGTCTATGTAATCCACTCCCTTCTCTGAATAAATCTAGGCTTTTTGTGAGATTATCTCAGTGATGCACATATTATTACTCCAAACTGAACTCATGCAGCTATTTGTTGAATCATGAATTTATCTTGTTACTTATTTCATAACCATATTAATTTGAACTCTGACCATGTGCAGCACTTCTCAGTCCTGCAGCATCAGCACCTGACTCTGCTCTCCTCCTCTGTCCGCCTCATCACCACTGCCTCATATTCTGTGTTGTGATTTAACCGGAAGTGTTTAACAAGGTTTGTTGTGTTGTACTCTTTACAGTTTTTCCACAAAGCGCATCTTGGCTGTTGTTTCCTTCTCGTTTTTGCAGCAGAAATAGCTCCACACATTGATATACTCCGCCGTGTTTACAGAAGAGCAGCGTGCCACTGCTAACGCATTACGCACTTACTCAGGCGGAAGAAAAAGTAGTTCCCACCATCCGCGTATCATTTAGACAAGCTCTCAATAGTTTGGTTACTTTCCATCATCTTCATGTTATTGATATGCATTACCTGAAATGACTGAAGTATCGAAAGCATCGATAGTTTGATTAAAGAATCTATTTTTAGAGCGCAGAGCTCTAGTATCGATATTTTTGGTATCGACACGCATAGATATATATCTATGTAGATACGCACATCACTTGTTCGCGCTTTATTTTGAAGATGGCGGAGTCCCTTCTCAGTTTGTCAGGGACTGTTTTAGCTTCTCTCATGTTTCAACATGTAAACAGTGACACAGAAGTGGTGAGAAGCCCTTTCATAACTTTGTAAAGTTCAATTTTATTTGTTTTTTCTACAGCTCAATGCTGGTAATGCTGAGTATTTTCAGCTGTAGGAAAGTTAGTAAACACTACGAACAAGTGTCCCAACCTTTTCAGCTATACTGCTTAAAGTTTGGTCATTTGTTTGTAAATTTAGTATGAAGAACTTTTGATTTATATCTTGGTGGAGGAAAAGTATAAGTACTATTTTAATACATCTGTATGTGCAACTTTTTAACAATGAAGAACACAGCTGTCATACCACACCAGATTCCATTTAAATGTTCTGTTAAACTAAATGAAATAAAGTACACAAAAGAAAACAACATAATGTGAAAATTACTGAGGCAGTATTACAATCATTACACTCTGCCCTTAAATTCGGCAGACATTTGGCATTATAAATAGTGATCAATAACCAACCACTGTACACACACATTACATATACATATAATATATGTATATATATATATATATCCATCCATCCATTATCTTCCGCTTGTTCCGAAGTTGGGTCGAGGGGGCAGCAGCTTGAGCTGGGAGGCCCAAACATCTCTTTCCACAGCCACTTCTTCCAGCTCTTCTGAGAGGATTCCAAGGCGTTCCCAGGTCAACCAAGAGATATAGTCTCTCCAGTGTGTCCTGGGTCTTCCCCGGGGTCTCCTCCAAGTCGGATATGCCTGAAGCACCTCTCTAGGGAGGCGTCCAGGGGGCATCCTTAGCAGATGCCCGAACCACCTCAGTGACTCCTCTTGATGTGGAGGAGCAGCAGTTCTACTCTTGAGTCTCTCCCAGATAACTGAACTTCTCACCCTATCTCTAAGGGAGAGTCCAACTACCCTGCGGAGGAAACTCATTTCAACCACCTGTATCCGTGATCTCATTCTTTCGGTCACTACCCAGAGCTTGTGACCATAGGTGAAGGTAGGAATGTAGACAGACTGGTAAACAGCGCTTTGCCTTACAGCTCAGCTCTCTCTTCACTACAACGGGCTGGGACAGAGTCCACAGTACTGCAGATGCTGCACCAATCTGTCTGTCAATATCACACTCCATTCTTCCCTCACTTGTAAACAATACCCCGAGCTACTAACTAGAACTCCTCCACTTGAGGCAGAACCTCACCATGGACTTTAAGGGAGCAGTCCACCCTTTTCTGGTTGAGGCCCATGGCCTCAGATTTGGAGGTGCTGATTCTCATACCAGTCTTTTCACACTCAGCTGTGAGCCACTCCAGTGAGAGCTGAAGATCACAGCATGATTACGCCAACAGGACCACATCATCTGCAAAAAGCAACGATGGAATCCTGAGGCCAGGCCACCGAACCAGAATCCCTGAACCCCTGGCTGCACTGAGAAACTCAGTCCATAAAAGTTATGAACAGAATCTGTAACAACGGGTAGCCCTGGCGGAGTCCAACTCCCACCCTGAAGGGATCCGACTTAATACGGGCAAGGCAAACCAAACTCTCGTACCGCTTGTATAGGGACTGAAAAGCCCATAACAATGGGCCCCCAATCCCATACTCACGGAGCACCCCCCCCCCCCTCACACACACACACCACCACCACCACTGTGTACCCCGAGGAACACAGTCATGCCTTCTCCAAATCCACAAAACACGTGTAGACTAGATGGGCAAACTCCTTGAGGACCCTAGTGAGGGTGAAGAGCTGGTCCAGTACTCCACGGCCAGGACGGAACCCACATTGTTCCTTCTGGACCTGAGGTTCGACCATTGATCGGACTCACTTCTCCAGTACCCCTGAATAGGCCTTACCAGGGAGGCTAAGGAGAGTGATGCCCCTATAATTGGAGCACACACTCCAGTGACACTGCCCCTGATGTCCACGCAATGTTGCAAAGGCGTGTCAACCAAGACAGCCCCACAACATCCAGAGCCATAAGGAAATCAGGGCGAATCTCATCCATCCCCAGAGCCCTGCCACAGCGCAGCTTTTTAACTACCTTGGCAACCTCAGCCACGGTTATGGACAGAACAACCCCAAAGTCCCCTGACTCCATTTCTTCTATGGAAGATGTGCCAGTAGGATTGAGAAGTATTCCTTCTACCTCCCCACTACATCACTGGTTGAGGTCAGCAGGACCCTACCTTCACTGAACACAGTGTTAGTAAAGAGCTGCTTTCCCCTCCTCAGCTGCCTAATGGTTTGCCAGAATCTCCTCGAAGCTGAACGAGAGTCATTATCCAATGCATCAACAAACTCCTCCCACATCCGAGCTTTTGCCTCAGCAACAGCCAAGGCTGCGGACCGCTTGGCCCTCAGGTACTCCTCAGCCGCCTTCAGTGTCCCACCAGCCAACAAGGACCGATAGGACTCCTTCTTCAGCTTGACAGACTCCCTAACCCAGTGTGTCCAAGTTCAAGGATGGCCACCACGAGAAGCACCGACAACCTTGCAGCCACAGCTCAAGGCAGCCACTTCAACAACTGAATCATGGAACATGGCCCACTCAGATTCAGTCTCGCCCGTCTCAGCTGGGATGCGGTGTTAAGCTCTCCTGGAGGTGTGAATTGAAGATCTTTCTGTTGGGTTCTTCTGCCAGGTGTTCCCAGCCAACCCTCACTACACGTTTGGGTTTCCTGGGTCTGTCCAGCATCTTCCCCCACCAACTGATCCAACTCACTACCAGGTGGGGATCAGTTGTTAGCTCAGCTCCTCTCTTCACCCGAGTGTCAAAACAAACGGCCGCAAATCAGATGACACAACTACGAAGTCAATTATCGATTTACGACTTAGGGCATCCTGGTGCCAAGTGCACTTATGGACACACTTATGTTTGAACATGGTGTTTTTGATAGACAAATTATGACTAGCACAGAAGTCCAACAACAGAACACTGCTCAAGTTCAGATCAGCGAGGCCGTTCTTCCTAATCATGCCCCTCCAGGTCACACTGGCATTAAATAGACTGCACTTATATAGCAATATTCTATCTTATCGAGATACTCAAAGTACTTTACACTACAATCTGTGTCCTCATTTACCCATTCATACAGCACTCTACTAGATCTATACAAATAATAATCAATGCTTTATCACATTCATACACCGATGGGACACACATCAGAGGCAGTGAGGGGTTCAGTGTCTTTCCCAGGGACACTTTGACATGTGACTGCTGGTGGATTTGAACCCCCAACTCTTGCATTGGAGGACGACTGCTCTAACCACTCAGCCACAGCCATCCCACCCATGTGGGTACTGACGTCCTCCAGCAGAATAAAGAAGTCCCCAGCTGGTACACCTTCCAGCACCCCCGCCAAGGACTCCAAGAAGGCCAAATACTCGGAACTGCCATTTGGTGCATAGGCACAAACAACAGTTAGAGTCCGTCCCCCCACCCTAAGACGCAGTGAAGCTACCCTCTCATCTACAGGGGAAAACTCCAACACACAGGCACCAAGTCAGGGGGCTGAGTAGACCCACACCAGCTTGGCACCTCTCACCATGGGCAACTCCAGAGTGGAATAAGGTCCAGGCCAGCCCCTCTCAAGAGATTGGTTCCAGAGCCCATGCTGTGCGTCGAGGTGAGCCCAACTATATCTAGTCGGTACCTCTCAACCTCACGCACAAGCTCAGGCTCCAACTATGTTCAGTCAGCTCATCTGGACAGTTTCTTTTTTTTTTTTTTGGTTGTTGTTGTTGAGAGACATTTCACCTGCCATCGGAAGGACTTCATCAGTCTGAGAAGTCACAAACAAACTGTTTTCCCCACTAAGCAGTACACACCTACAGTGGACCAACCAGTTTGCTGGTGATGAGATGGTTTCTGGGGCTGTCCTCTCCCCCATCAACTTCTCCCAATCTGCCACAGCCAAAGTGGTTCAAGACTTTAAGGTTCATGCTCAGTCATCCAGGTAAAAAAAATCCAACAATGTTCAGTCAGTTCATGATCATGTCAGGTTGAGCATGAACCTTGATGTCTTGAACCTATATAGAAGAGTGATCTGATCTCTCTTTCTTCATACATACATACATACATACACATATATATATATATATATATATATGTATATATATATATATATATATATATATATATATATATATATATATATACATATATACATAAATGGTCACCATCACACACAGTTGGCTATCATAAAGCAATGATACAATCTGTCATTTCTATTCAGATGTGTGGTTTATGTTCCCCTGTCTGTCAGGAGGGTCTTCTCATTGGAGAAAGCAGGGTCGTTGAGAAGGTCATCACCGGCAACTCGCAGTCTGATCACATTCAAAGAGAAGAATTTTATAGTTAAGTTTCCATCACTCTGTGTGCTTTATTGTCCTCTAAATTTTAAGGTTAATTTGTCTGACAAGATTACATTTTATGCATAAACATTAATTGTGCTATTGCTGCTGACACCTTATGAAACTTGAAATACTATTAATTCAACTAAGTTAGGGTAAATGCTCTGGTTAAAAGACAATATTTTGTGAGAGTTTAAGTATTTCAGTTAGATTACTGTGAATAATGTTTGTGTGACAGATATCCAGAAGCACATCGCCTGCCACAGTCTGAGCACGTGAGTCCTGCGCAGATGTTGATGTACTGTTTCAACAGTGAGATGACAGTGTGATAGTTAGGCCTGTTGCAATAAACAATAAATCAATTAATCGCATGATAAATGAAAATTATCTACCTCGTTTTCATTTAACAGCGTTATCGTTTCTTCGTGTCTCTCTTTTATTTATTCTGAAGACATTGGATGACAAAAGGCTCAACTCCGGTGCTCTTCACTGACCCCTTCCTTTCTCTTTAAAATTCATTTTAATCATCCAAAATCGCGTTTTTGGATCGTTAAAAGCAGCTAAGCTTAGAAGCTAAGCTACGAGCTAAGTAACAGGCCGACCTCGGGGGGGGAAAAAACTCTGTCTTGTCGAAGCTCCAAAATTCACAGTTGAAACCCGTGCCTTTGTGTAAAAGTTGTTTTTCTCTGCAAAAAGAAGCTGAGAACTTGTTTACTAATTTTTTTATTAAAAGCTTTGTGTGAAAAACGCTAAAGAGCTCAAACCACACAGAGCATCCGCCATTTTGAGAACCGAAGAGAGACAGTCCATGTCACGTCAAGGGACCTCCCTCCCAGTTTTCTTAAAGAGACACGCTGCTCGCTCCCTCACTATCCATCCTTTGGTTCAAACTGTCTTGTACTGCCATCCAGTGGGTGAAAAAAGGTACTACACTCGAAACTAATTAACCAGCATTTTTTCTTAAATGTGACACTAATTACTAATTTTGTCAAATTTCAAACAATATTATCATTTATCGCAATAATTTCTGAGCCAATTAATCGCCCAGCAAAATTTGTTATCGTGACAGGCCTAGTGATAGTGTATGTATGTATCAGTTTGTACACAAGCTCTGGGGAGGTGAACATGGCTGCTCTGCAGAAGATGCTGGCAGACAACGAGCAGGTGAGAGAGATCAACGTGTATGTGGGCGCTTTAGTGTCGATGTGACAAGTTTATTGTGACGTGTGTGACTTGACATTTGCAGAGTGAAATTTTGGAAATGTGTGTTTGGTTGGAGCAGGATAAAGTGATCGGCTGGTATCGGCAGCGGAAGGACACGGAGCTACACGTGACGTTCAGGGAGAGGCTGGTCCATGAAAAGCTGAAGAGCGCGCTGTCAAAGCCAAACATGATCTTCATGCTGCTGACATCCAGCAGCCTGACAATGACTGGCGCCACTCACATGACAGAGTACTCTGCCTTCATCTCCCGCAACAGGTGACTGTTCTACACACAGGTCTGCTGTCTAGGAGTCACTTGATTAGGGCAGGGGATTGGTTGATCAGGCAACTTTGACTCGTCTCTGTTTCTCAGTTGGTTTTCTGTAAAACTAGTTGCTAAACATTTTACGAGATGATGGCACAAACATCAGCTGATTTGAATAAAGTTTGCACACTATCAAACCCTGGCACAAAGATATTCAAGATTAGAGGAGAGCAGTTAAAGCTAAAACAGCTGTCAAAGTATGCAATTTTTCAATTATTTTAATTTGATTATTTTGTATGTTTATTATCTATGATAAAAATAATGACTAAACACGCATCATTCGCCACCAAACGTTTACTCCAGGACTTGCAGTAAATGGGCAAAATCAGCTGAGTCGTGTTTTGTTGCCAACAATTGCGAGTCATTTGTTTACATTTAAACATGGACTTCAGACTTTCTCAGCGCAAAACAGATATAGAGACAATAAACAAAATTAAAACATTAAATTGATGTCAACAAATGTACGTGTTGCTGACATCAAAATCAAAAGGAGAAGAATAAAAAAAGTTTGCTTTTGATAAACGTAGTTATTTTGGGGGTGCTTTGGATAAAAATACTTACCAAAATTACTTTATATCCACTCAAAAAATGTAGTCCAGTGTGTTGAAGATTAACTGTTGCTAAAAATAATAATAAATTAGAATTAATAATGTAGATTTGATGGAGTACTTAGTTTTACCACTAGCTAGAGCTGAACTATGGCTTTATTCAAAGAACTTTAGAAACTTTACTTGTAATTCAGCACCATATTAATGTATGTGTGTACAAAGAGTGTTCTTTATTCAGATGCTGCTTGCTCATATTATGTGTACAATTAGCAGCACATTTTTAGTGTTAAATAAATAAAAAGCTGTGATTTTGTTCCATTTGTCATGTTTCTTCCCTGTGAAGGTGCCTCGTCAGCATTCCAGTTCTGGTTACCAACTTGGGTCTGTTGGAGCAGCAGGCCTACTGGAAGGAGTCAGTTATGTGCACTGCAGTAGGATACAACCTCATCATGAAGGATTCCAGGTATCTTGGAGCACGCGCCCATATTGTCATGATGTGTTCACATTTCACCTCACCACTACCTCTCGCTTTCAGGTCCAAGTTCACCTCCGACGGGCAGTTGAAGGAGGTGAACGAAGTGATTAAGATGAACGAGTCACTGCAGGGGAAGCTGCAGGTGAGAGGGTGTGTGTGAGGTGGTGTTTGCTTGTCCAGTTGATGTACTTCTTCAGCCACTTTGTGTTTTGTGGACAGAAAGCGTGCAGAGACGTGGAGGAGAGCGAACGTGCGGTTGAAGTGCTGCAGGCCGAGGTTTCAGCTCTCAAAAAGGAACTGCAAGAGAAGCAACGGGCTGCAGCAGGAAAAGATAGCAGTACGTTGCAGACCTACCTTGAGATGTGTTTTTATTTTGGTCTCATTCTAACTTTGTGTTTGAACAGAACCCACCAGTCCACCCGAGCCGAAGAACAACTTGCTGCTGCTTGAAGCTGCCAAAAGTCTGCTCGGCTCTTCCCCCGTGTGCCTCACACAGACCCCGAACCTGCAGGCGTTCCCTGTGTCTGATGAACGCGTTCCCATGGAAACAGAGGTAAACTCGGACACCGTGCAGGAACAGCTACCCTTGCTGTAGGAGAGTTTAACAGCTGGTAGGAAGAGGCAGGGAAAGTCGAGAAGAAACACGTGGAGCAAGTGGTGTTTCTCCATCAAACACGCCCAAACTCTTCAGTTCAAAGTTTATGGAATGCCGGTTTGTTCCATGTGCAAAAAATACTTAAACAGATATCTGCACTCGAGTTGTATTGTTCTCTTAAAATTAGTATATTTATATTCATTTGAGGAAGTTATTTGTGACGTGTTTATTTATATGGAAAAGGGCTTTCCATAGTTTGTCTGTTAGCTAAATGCACTGACAGTTGTTTGTTGTTCAGCTGTATTGATAAAGATGTTCAATGAAAATGTTGTATCAAAACTGCACAGTTCACAGTTCATTTCTCAAGACGAGGCCACAAACCCGATGGTTCAGGCTGCAAGTTTTAGAGTTTTTTTGTGCTTCATGTTTTCAAAATGCGACAAAAGTGCAACCTGTTTTATATTCCTCTTAAAATAAAAGACTTGTTGCTACCGCTTGTCTGCGATTGAAGATGTTATTCACTTGCATGAATCTATGCACTGCTTTTTACAATCGAAAGAAAACTAAAGTTAATCCAAACGTTAGTTCTGCAGCTGTTAAGAGTTCTTGTTTAAGTGATTTGTCTCAGACAAACTGAACATTCAGGATATGCAGTTTTTTCTGTATTCTGTTGGGCAACTTGACCAAGTTGCAGCTTCTCACAGCATCATCCATGCTTTTACCTCGACTTGTTTTTATGACTGCAATGCACTTTACGTTGGGCTAGGCCAGTCGATGCATGCTGGTTCAGAATGCACCTGCACATTTGTTTTAAACTGGTTCCAGGAAACAAGTGCATGCTGTTTTAGCATCACCTACAGAGGCTTCCGGTTTGTTTACAGATTGATTTTAAAGATCCTTTTTTCCCCAAAGTCAAAGAGAGGTGGCCGAGTGTTTTCAGTCACTGCCTCCAAACAGCTGCCGTACACATCAAGCAGGTCTACTTCCTGTTTTTAAATTCTCTTAATACACGCATTTTTTTTTTAAATCAATATCTTTGTTTTTTTTATCGTTTAAAATTTTAATGCGTTTTAAATTAATTTGTTTATTTTACTCAGATCTTTTTTGGTCTGCAGGACTTCGATCAAAAAAATTTTTTTGTTTGTTTCTCGCAGTGCTTTAAAAGTGGAGATGCACGGTGTAGTGATTTGCAACAAAAGTGTCAGCAAAGGTCAAAGGAAAAGTTTACAAGACAGTGGTGAGACCAGCTGTGTTGTATGGTCTGGACAGAGACATTGACTAAAAGACAGGAGAAAGAACTGGAAGTGGTAGAAATGAAGATGTTGAGGTTCTTCTTAGGAGTGACAAGGATGGAGAAGATTAGGAATGAGATCATCAGAGGTACAACACAGGTTGAACAGCTGGGAGATGAAGTTAGAGAGACCAGACTGAGATGGTTTGGACATGTCCAGAGGGACAGTGGGTATATTGTTAGAAGTATGTTAGAAATGCAGCTGCCAGGAAAAAGACAAAGAGGAGATATATGGATGTAGTTAGAGAGGACATGGAGGGAGTTGGAGTGAGGACAGAGTGAGATGAAGGAGGACGACTCGCTGTGGAGACCCTGAAGAAGGAAAAGCTGAAAGATTATTTTTGTTTCAAACTCTGACATAAAAGTTGGGGGTAGCATTCTCCCCGGCCTTTAATTAGGGTTTTTTTTTTTTTACTTCAGGCTGAAACTTGGCGCTTTTTTTTACAAAAAGGGTGATTAATAAATAGAAATGTCCTGTTTAGAAAACTAAAATCCTTCCATCTCAACACATTAAAGCTCACAATGCAACGTCACTTGTAGATTTGAACATTTTTATAGTATTTAACTAAAAATGAACTGTGTTATCCTTTATCTACTAATCCAGTAGATGTTTGTGGATTCATACAAACTTTGAGAGGGGGAGATGCTGAAAATGGCTTCTTTAAACTTTTAAAGTCCACAGACTTAAACCACCTCTGGTATTAAAATGTTTAATTTTACAAAAAAAAAAAACTTTACTTTTACTAAAAACAGTTTAAGATGTGATAAATTTTTCAAACTATCTCATTGGTTCTTGATTTTTATTTTTTTTAAAAACAAAGACAACTTGTAGAAAACCTTGTTATTAAAATGCTTCTTTAGTTAAGAGTAAACATGTTAAGCACATTTGAACCATCAGAGTGACGACACGATGAAACCAGCTGTTGGAAGATTTTACATTTATTAAAAATAAAGAACCGAGACGTGATGTGAAGAGCCTCATTACACTGACAGCAGACAGGTTTTAATACACAAACTAAACGCACAATGATCCTCTACTTCAGAAGTTTGACGTTGCAGATGTTGGGATCCATCATGAACTGAGGATGTTTGTGGGTGACCGGCATGAAACCTGCAGGAGAAATATTCAATAGAAGAGGGTGACATTAAAATTAGGAAGATAACGGTTAAAGAAATGTCAAACTTCACAGCTGGACACCATGTGGGTCAACAAACTATTGATTTTAAGGTCATGGGGTCAAAGGTCACTCTTCTTTAAATAGCTCTGAATTGGGAACTCTTTCAAATAGAAATCCCAAACTTCACAGCTGGACACCTCATGGGTCAGCAATGCTCTCTTCTGATTTTATGAGTAAATTTAACTGTGTTAAACTGGATTTACCACGGTTTCACTACTTCTGGCTCTTACATTTCTAGCTCTTAGTTAGCATTAGCTTTGTCATGCTTTTTACAAGCATTTTGCTACTTCTTGCTCTAAGGTAGCCTTGTTTATTATTTCTTGCTAACGTTTCACCAATTCTGGCTGCCAGCTAGCATTTTCCTTTTAGCATTTCACTACTGCAGTTCAAAGTTAGCCTTATGGTGCTTTTCTACTAGCATGTCGCTACTTCTGACTAGTTTTTCCAGCTATTTTCTGTCGTTTTGCATCTCATCTATGGAAAGCATGCAGGTCAGACATCACTGCCTGTGAGAAATCATCATTACAACTATGCAAACAAGTATTTTTACAACCACATTTTGTAGAATACTTAAATGTGTCAAAATGTAAGGGTTTTTGTCTTCTTTCACTTAGTTTGACTCCTAATACTACAGGGTTTACAGTTTTCTGTCAAATCTCACCAGAGCCCAGAGAACTCCCAGGTGAGCTCTTAATGGATTTCATTATAACCTGGCTCTGATGATCTGGTAAGATTGTTCAGATCAAGCATGTTTTTAAATCTTCATACTTTCCACAACAAACATCGCAGACACAAATTTTATATGAATGAAGCCACATCCATCTTTATTTTCCCACAGTTTGGACCGTAGTTTCAGTCTAATTCAGTACCACTCCTGTAGTCAGGCAGTAAAAAATGTAGCTGTGAAGTTACTGACTGATCCTGGGTTAAAAACAGACACATTGTTTCTCTGTTTTCTGTTCACATTTGAAACAACTTAGCTTCCTGGCAGAGTTTACACCTTAAAGTTTTCGTCATACACATATCTGTCTCAATCTTTAACTCATCCAGTGTCTGTCTGTGCGTTTCTGCGTGTGTGTGTGTGTACTGTTAGCAAAATATCTAATTAGTTACTAATAGGATTTTAATAAATTGTTCCTTTATTGTTTCTTGTTCATGTAATCTGTTTCTCCACGTGACATTCATTCATTTGCATCGACTCAGCATCAGCAAATAGAGTCTCCATTTCCTGTTCGTGCTCAGTTTGTGGACCCGCCTCAGCCATGGTTCAAAGCGAGCCGAGCCGAACAAATGATTTTTACGTCAACAAAATGCAGCCGTTGATTGGCTCATTTTGCTTTCACCAAAATCATTCAGTAATAAGCATTATTGAACGTTATATGTTGCATTTTCACAGGAAATGCAATTCTCTATTAACACACATTTCTATGGTTGTAACGTTTTTTGGTACACACTGAGACACACCCAGCAGTGGTTTTGTAGTATTTTCCATAATAACCGTGTAATACAGAATTGATTTTGGTGATAAAGTTCATTTTAAAAAGCATTTGCATAAGCAACTGTGAATTTTCTGAAATTTGAGTTATTTCTGGATGGCAACAATTCATTTTAGTTTAGCCTCAGCTTGAATTAGCTTTTAGCTTGAAAATCTGGTCAGAATTAAACAAAATTTCTCCAAACCTGGGTTGTTCAAAGTACCTACAACAGGTAACTAGTACAGTATTTTGGACATAATATTTCCAAAGAACCTTACTTTAAAAGATCTGAATTATCATTTTAAATGGATTTTGTACCCCCAAATTTAAAACTAAAGTCACTGCATGACAAATTTAAACTCTTTTCTGAACTAACAGAAAAATTCCTAGCGTTGATGTAAAAACTGAAAAGCTAAAATCTGAAATGACACTTCATATAAAAATCAATAGGGCAGCACGGTGGCACAACTGGTAGAGCTGCTGCCTCTCAGCGAGCAGGTCCTTGGTTCAAACCCCGGTCCAGGGGCCTTCTGGGTGAAGTTTGCATGTTCTCTCCGTGCATGCGTGGATTATCTCCGGGTACTCCGGTTTCTTCTCACAGACCCAAAACATGCATGTTAGGCTGATTGGTAACTCTAAATTGTCCCTAGGTGTGTGTGAGAGACTGAATGGTTGTTTGTCTCGTTTGTCTCTATGTGTCCCTGTGATGGACTTGCGACCCATCCAGGGTGTACCCCGCCCCTCGCACAGTGATTGCTGGACATGGGCACCGGCGACCCCCGTGACCCAAAATGGAAGAAGCGGGTAAAGATAATGGATGGATGTTGTTTTTCTTCTTAAATACAAAAAACAGCCCTAACTTTCTGTCAGCCACCTTAATGTTGATGCTCAAGACGATGTGGCAAAAAATTAAAATATCTGCAAACATCTCATGTAGGAGTGTTCCTGCAGTGAGATCAAACTAACCATCGTGTTGTGACAGGATGAAAAAGGCTGACATATATATATATATATATATATATATATATATATATATATATATATACATGTGTGTGTGTGTGTGTGTGTGTGTAAACAAAGTTTTAAATAAACCAACCCATTGCCTGAGCCTTCTTTATGGCTTTAGAGATCTCCTTCTGTTTTCTTCCACATAAACCTGAAGGACAGAGAGAAAGATATTTTGAGTGTATGAAGCATTTCAACCCCACCACACACACACACACACACACACACAAAGGGACCTGCAGCTACTCGCCTGTAAGGTGTCGGCCGTAAATCGTGCCTGTGTACGGTGAGATGAACTGAGAAAGCAGCTGAAAGAAGTAAAAATGAAATAAATGATTACTTTAGCATCACTTTTAACAAACAGTTTTATAGTGAAATATTAGTTTACTGTTCCGTGTCTAGGTTTGTGACGGATGCTGTTAACAAGTTTACTTTAACAACAACCAAGTGAGCTAAACAACCTGGTGGAGCGTGTTCTGTGAGGGTAGCCAACATATTAGATCCTTATCTGTTACTGAGCTCGAATACAAATTAAGGAGAAAAGTGTTCAGTTGACTCACCTGAATGTTTTTAAAGTCTACAGTAACATTGCAGAGGGTGCAGACTTTAGGAGGCTCTTTGTATGGATTCTCCATTTTCACGACCTTAAAAAAGAAAACATTCGGTTATTACAGATGTCTTACTGCGGTGGCAACTATAATATAATACAATATTGTAATATATACCATGTCATCTTTATGTTGAACTCCATCTGACGTGAGACTCCTGCACCCTACAGGAATGAGCAACATACGACACACAACATTAGCTTGTTAGCATCGCAGCGCTATGTGAACGACTCAAATTTATTGTGAAAAAGCAGAAGGGTTTTACATTAAAACGAAAAAACACACCTTTATATTAACCACACATATACTCACTTATATTTCCACGGGGATTTAGAGCAGCTTTTAGCCTCTGTAGACCTCTACCACACAACATTTTGACCTGACATCAGACAGGAAACGGTACAGCACATGAATGATTCCGCCTGACTAGTTTCTGAGATTATTAGTTCCGACACCCTACAATTTTCATAATGAAATTAACGCTCAGTGTATATTTCTAAACGTACATTATTATAATTTACGTTTTAGTATTTTTTTTTCAGTACGAGTTCATTCAAATTAATGATATATTATGAAAATATTTAACCTTCTCCAAACGGAAAAGTTGCACTTTACATTGTTGTAATGCTAGTTAAGAAATAATTCACAAATATTTGAAATCCAACTCTTGTGAGCGTTTATCTTACTTTAAATCTATGACACCGTGTATTTAATGTCACTGAGCAAGGGGGAAGCGAGTGTTAGCAGCTAATCGCGAAAACGGAAGTACAGCGGGACACGAAAACGGAAGTTCAGCGGGGAATCCTCTTGTTGAAACACAGAAATCCGTTTGAACGTGATGAGCGCTGAGCGGTTGTCGCTGTCTGATGATTGCTCACAGATACACTCTTTTTTTTTGTCAAAGAAGCCAATTCCCGTATGTAATGAGCGTTTGTGAGTCAGCTATAGTTGTTTATTTGCAGACTGAAACTAAAGAATGAGTGCAGGGTAAGAGTGCAATAAGCTAGCCCGCTCTGAAGATGGCAACGTTAAACTTAAGGTTAGTTTGTGCTGCTCTGGGATCCGTGTTGGTTAGCTTTGTGTCACAATGTAAAGTTGTTGCAAGTTCTGGTTGAACCCGGACAGGAATGAATTCCGGGAGGCTCGACGTCAAAATAAAACGAGTTTGCGCGAGAAAGAGGTCGCGAAGCATTCTGAAGACTCACCTGACCCCTGTCCGGAAGAAAGAGGGACGCCTCGGACCAGGGACATGTCCCCCCAACAGCATCATGACGGATAGTCGGGCTGCGGAGGTTTGTCCCCTTACTTTCAATTATTTGATTGTAAAAACAAAATATCCTGCAGGAGAGAGGGAGATAAAACAGCTGATTAAATATGAATGATTTGTCTCTGTTCTGGTTTATTAAGGACCATATTTTGGATGGTTTGTTGCAAACAAAGCCTCTTTGGTAAATTGCACTCAAGTCATTATCAACACATAATTTGATGTCAGTTTCAGCTTAAAGACAGCTTCAATTTTCCCAATGTAATGGCATTGTGTTGACAATACTATTGATGAAACTACACTGATGATAATATTTAAGTAGCAGTTCTGTGACCAAACATGACATTACTAGATAACAGCTTGTGTGATGCAGTCATATTGTTGGGATATCCTATTTCTTCAACAGGTGAAGAAGCACTTTCCTTGGATGTACACGTAAAAACTTGGTTTCTGGTTCATGCGGTCAGTAGCTTATTAGGCTTCATGTAGTAAAATTTAATAATCTGTACAAATGCAAAAAAAAAATTTAAAAGAAAAGAAAATGGTCGTATGTTTTAAAGTTGTTGAAAATGTTTCACTTCCCATTCGTGAAGCTTTTTGGAAGCAAAACATCTTTAACTTCAGAATATAGGTCCAGTTGTTTTGTTTTTCTAGCTGCTTTTTTTTTTTTTTCATTTACACCAACATATAAGAGTGCAATCAATCAATGTTTGCCATCAACAAGTTATTTGTGATGTTTATTTACTTAATATCATCTGAAGGTGGTGACTCATTGCTGTAATGTCTGCATGTGCCGCAGCGTGTCATATCGGAGCAGCATCGGGATAACAAACATGGAGCAACAGCCATGATTATACGTATGCTACTATGGCAGGAGGAGATCCCACCAGTTCATTCAGCATCTATCAGCTGTAGGATACGGTGACCCCAAGGTGTGTGAACAACATTTGAAAAAACAGAATTACATAAAGCCAAACAGGAAGGTTTTTTTTTTTTACTTTATTAACAGCATAAAACCGAAAAACAGAACAATTTACAGTACATCCTGATGCATGCTCAATAATCCAGGTAGAAAAATCTAAAATAGTTAAGTCAGGTCCTCTGGAGGCCTCCGGGTTCAACTGTCCCCCTCTTACAATGCTGTTATTGTTAGTATCACTCAGCCCCTGTGAATAGTAAACAGCCATCAGTGTGCTAATGATCCATTGTTAGGCTGATGGTCCTTCTTGAGCATGTGAGCAGCTGGTTTTGGTTGTCAGCAGCAAACTGGTTGATCCACTCTGAGAAGGTGCTATTTAAGAGACTGAGCTGAATACAGCACCTCAGACTGAGGAAGTCCTTCGGATGAGAGATGAAACGTTTCTACAATTTTTTTTCTGTTGTTGTTTTTTGAACGTCCAGAGGACCAGACTTAACTTTTTTAGAATATACAGTACACACATCTCCGTTGTGTGAACAGTATATTGTTCTGTTGTTCGGTTTTATGCTGTTAATAAAGAAAAAAAACACCTTCCTGTTTGGCTTAATGTAATTCAGTATTTTTCTAATGTTCATTTACACCTTTGGGCCACCGTAGGTAGAATGCAAAGGAAACCACTGAAGTTTGTGCTGAATGTTTTTAGTTCTTTAGCTAAAGTCTTACCAGGTACATTTCAGCTTTGAATTAAGTTTATCGTCCAGTAGAACTACCATCTTTGTGTTTCAGGGACAGCTGAGTAGTATTCAGATGGGTGACAAGGCTGCTGCAGATTTAAGATGATCATGTTGATAAATTGCTCACTGAACACAAATCCGGGGTGTTTTTGTTTTAAAACTTGCAGGTTTGTACAATAAAACCACCACAAGAAATACTCGGGTCAGGTGCTAATATAACTGATGACTTTTTGAAGTAATTCTACTGCTAATAATTCTTATAGTGAATTAATTAATAAGCTGATACTTTGTTTTCATCAGTTTGTGGCTAACTTCTTGTGTTTTGCCGGCAGTTCTGCAGTGACAGCGAAGATTTGTTTGGTGACTACGACAGCATCCTTGAGGACAGCTCTCTCTTGGCGAAGTTGGACGATGCAGAACAAAACGAGAGGCTGCGAGCAGCCAACCAGCACGACTTTGCTAATCTGCAGCTGTCTAAAGACGGCGAGCGGAAACAACCCTGTGAGAATGCTCTCTCTGACTCCATCTTGGGTGAGTTCAGACCCTTTGAGGACTTACCAACAAGCCAGCTGCAATTTCACGAACAAACGAAAAGGAGCCGACTGCAGGATGAAAACAAAACGTCCACACCTCGTCAAAGTGCCAGCAGGATGGTCGAGGCTGGAAGAGAAACAAGCGCAGAAGGTGAAACCAAGAGGCCCAGCAGAGCGAGGAGGAGCGTGGCGGACCTGCTGAAGAGGACGATGCTTGGGAATGCCGCGGCTCCTCCTGGAGTTTCTCGGACAGCTGTGCTGAAAGAGGCTGTGGTTTCTGAGGAGATCAGTGTCGCCGTGCAGGCCATGGAGGCAATATCAGCTGAGACGACTGACCTCGGACCTTTCTTTGGACTCCCCAGCAAAGTAAAAGAGCTGATGCACAAACTGAGAGGAATTCAGAACTTATATGGTGAGTCTGTTTTCTGGAAACTAACTGCAGGGGGGGTCTGTTAGACGACAGGAACATCAACTTTTCAGAAAGTACAGCCTTTAAAAAAAACAACTCTATCTGCCATTTCATCCACAAACCATAAAAACTAACGTTGTCACTTTATGCTTTTGGCTAACAAACAATAATTTTACACAGATGTTCAGTTTCAACGTCGTGTTCAAACAGCATTACATTTTAGATGCTACAGTGCCTTGTGAAAGTATTCGGCCCCCTTGAACTTTTCAACCTTTTGCCACATTTCAGGCTTCAAACATAAAGATATAAAATTTTAATTTCTTGTGAAGAATCAACAACAAGTGGGACACAATCGTGAAGTGGAATGAAATTTATTGGATGTGTCAAACTTTTTTAACAAATAAAAATCTGAAAAGTGGGTCGTGCAATATTATTCGGTCCCTTTACTTTCAGTGCAGCAAACTCACTCCAGAAGTTCAGTGAGGATCTATGAATGATCCAATGTTGTCCCAAATGACTGATGACTATAGAGAGCACATCACGCCAGTTTTGGTCTCCCTGCACTGGCTACCCATTCACCTTCGGATCCAATTCAAAATTCTCATGTATGTTTTTAAATCACTGAACAGTTCCGCCCCATCCTATCTCACTGATCTTCTGCAGCCATATGTCCCACCGCGCTCTCTGAGGTCAGCAGACCAGATGCTTCTCTCAGTCCCAGAAACCCGTCGTAAGCTCAGGGGTGACAGGGCTTTCTCTGTTGCAGGTCCACGACTGTGGAATGAGTTGCCACTGAGTGTCCGGCAGGCTCCCACACTCTCAGTCTTTAAGTCTCGCTTGAAGACCCACTTCTATTCTCTTGCCTTTAACACGGTGTGATTTGTTTTGGTCCTGTCTGTTCTCTACTCTGTTGGCCATTTTAGTTAGCTTCTGCTGCTATTTGTATCTGTATTTCTATTTTATGTTTTCCTGTCTGCTGTGCATGTTTGTGTTCTTTTGTACAGCACTTTGGTTGGCCTTGTTGCTGTTTTAAGTGCTATATAAATAAATTGGTATGGTATGGTATGATGACGATAAATAGAATCCACCTGTGTGTAATCAAGTCTCCGTATAAATGCACCTGCTCTGTGATAGTCTCAGGGTTCTGTTCAAAGCCCAGAAAGCATCATGAAGACCAAGGAACACACCAAGCAGGTCCGAGATACTGTTGTGGAGAAGTTTAAAGCTGGATTTGGATACAAAAAGATTTCCCAAGCTTTAAACATCCCAAGGAGCACTGTGCAAGCAATCATATTGAAATGGAAGGAGTATCAGACCACTGCAAATCTACCAAGACCCGGCCGTCCCTCTAAACTTTCATCTGGAACAAGGAGAAGACTGATCAGAGATGCAGCCAAGAGGCCCATGATCACTCTGGATGAACTGCAGAGATCTACAGCTGAGGTGGGAGAGTCTGTCCATAGGACAACAATCAGTCGTACACTGCACAAATCTGGCCTTTATGGAAGAGTGGCAAGAAGAAAGCCATTTCTCAAAGATATTCATAAAAAGAGTTGTTTAAAGTTTGTCACAAGCACCTGGGAGACACTAAACATGTGGAAGACTGTGCTCTGGTCAGATGAAACCAAAATCAAACTGTTTGGCCACAATGAAAACGATATGTTTGGCGTAAAAGCAACACAGCTCATCACCCTGAACACACCATCCCCACTGTCAAACATGGTGGTGGCAGCATCATGGTTTGGGCCTGCTTTTCATCAGCAGGGACAGGGAAGATGGTCAGAATTGATGGGAAGATGGATGGGACCAAATACAGGACCATTCTGGAAGAAAACCTGTTTGAGTCTGCAAGAGACCTGAGACTGGGACGGAGATTTATCTTCCAACAAGACAATGATCCAAAACATAAAGCCAAATCTACAATGGAATGGTTCACAAATAAACATATCCAGGTGTTGGAATGGCCAAGTCAAAGTCCAGACCTCAATCCAATCGAGAATCTGTGGAAAGAGCTGAAGACTGCTGTTCACTAACGCTCTCCATCCAACCTCACTGAGCTCGAGCTGTTTTGCAAAGAAGAATGGGCAAGAATTTCAGTGTCTCCATGTGCAAAACTGATAGAGACAAACCCCAAGAGACTTGCAGCTGGAACTGCAGTAAAAGGCGGCGCTACAAAGTATTAACGCAAGGGGGCCGAATAATATTGCACGCCCCACTTTTCAGTTTTTTATTTGTTAAAAAAGTTTGACTTCATTCCACTTCACGATTGTGTCCCACTTGTTGTTGATTCTTCACAAATAATTAAAATTTTATATCTTTATGTTTGAAGCCTGAAATGTGGCAAAAGGTTGAAAAGTTCAAGGGAGACGAATACTTTCACAAGGAACTGTATGTGTTCGCTTTGCACCGTTTTGCCCAAACAAGTTTTAAAAATGAGTTTTAGAGCTACATGTTGGAGTTTTTAGCTTCGTTTCCTCCTGGTTTTCTCAACTAGCTCAAACTTCATGGCCATTTTAAAAAGCACCATTTATTTCAGAATATTATATCATGCATCAGAGTAGAGGAGTTTTGACTGGTTTTCTGTGTCAGACTGGCAGGAGAAGTGTCTGAACCTGGACTGTGTTGAGCAGAGGAAGAACTTCATCTACTCTCTGCCCACCAGTGGAGGGAAGACTCTGGTCGCGGAGATCCTCATCCTCAGGGAGCTGCTTTGCAGGAAGAAAGACTGTTTGTTGATCTTACCGTACATATCTCTGGTGCAGGAGAAGGTATGCAAACACACCATTTAAACCAAAACCAGTTTATTTAAGAGAATAAAAGTCAGGGACCTCTTCGTTGTTTATAATAAATCTTGACTTTTACAGGAACATATTATAAGCAGAAAATAGAATTTCTCCTGCCTTTTTTATCTTTGCTTTTAACAGCAAATACCCATCAACAGTTTTGTGGTTCACTTAAGCCACGGGTGTCCAAAGTATGGCTCGAGGGCCATTTGTGGCCCTTAGAGTGATTTTGTGTGGCCCACCGCTGCAGTTTAAAAATGCTATCATTTTAGCCAGCAGGCTTAAGAGGTCAATGCAGACTTTCTGCAAATTATTTGTATTTAATGTTTAGGTTTATCAGCAAAATAGATGAAAAACAATCTTCTCAAAATGAGCAATATTAAACAAAATACAAACCTTTGATTATAATCTTTTTATTTTCACTTCATGGTACAAAACACCAAAAACCTTTACTGATTTCTACCAGGAAGGAGGAGACTTTTAGATAATAATTCATAAAACTTGGCTAAATATTGCAATTGATAAAATAATCAAGAGGGGAAACTGGACATTTTTAAATGAATATAACGTGGTATCATCTACATACGAGTTGATCGACTTTATCAAACCTTCTATGAATCTGTTGTAGCGACTGAAGCCGGACGATTTTTCTGAACTTCAATCAGCCTTTTGGGCCGTCCATGGTCCAAAAGGCTGATTGACCCCTTTTAAAAGGACAATTACACTTTTTGTTGCTGCGAACAGACTAAAATTAACTTTCCAAACACAAGAAAACAACAAACATAAACCCAACAAATCAAATCCTTTTATAATAAAAAAAAATATAAGCTTAGATATGATACGTTTAATGTTTCGGATCTAAAACAATTCAAAACTCTTTCTCCACCAAAATGAGTAAACGTTTGTCCTTTCTCCAAGATATTGTTCACGTTGAGAGTTAAATTCACATTTTTTGTTTCCCACAAGTCCTTTCATCTGGATAGTTTTGTCCCACACATGAAAAAGTTTTGGACACCACTGACTTAAGCTAATGCTACACGTTACCATTACTTTGTGTAAAGAGTTAGGTTCTTACAAACACATTCAACTCCCTAATGCAGATTTTACTTTTTTTTCTCATGTGAAGGATGAAAGTCTTGATCTCACAGAAAGCATAATCAGCACTTGAGTTCCACATGAACAAATGTTGGGTAAACCTTGCTCGTAGTGGTGCAGTGTGAAGAGAAGAAAATGATGAAAAACTATTTTATTTAGCGTATTTGTCCTCTTCGCAGAATTACCTTTTTAAATGCATTTTCTCTATAAAACATCAACTTTATGAATAAATCCTGTTCACTGTATGTTTTTTTACTGTATTTGGAGATAAATAATGGGAACTGGTTTCGATTTTTATAGGTGCGTGGGTTAGCGAGCTTTGGTCTGGAGCTGGACTTCATGGTGGAAGAGTACGCTGGCAGCAAGGGCAAGTTTCCTCCAGTGAAGAGAAGAAACAAGAGGTCCCTGTACGTCGCTACGATAGAGAAGGCCCACAGCCTCGTCAACTCTCTTATAGAAACCAACAGGCTGGAGAACCTGGGGCTGCTGGTGGTTGATGAGGTACAAACTCTTTGATTGAATGCCATCTGAAGTGAAAGGATGTTTAAAAGAAGTTTTTGTTTGTTTCCTCTGCAGCTGCACATGCTGGGTGATGGCAGCAGAGGGGCTGTGATTGAAATGACTCTGGCCAAAGTCCAGTACATGAGCAGTAAGTGCCTCCTTCAGGTTTTCAGCCATGTCAACCTGTGTGTGTAAAATGAACAACGCTGCTCCGTGTTTGTCCAGAAACAACGCAGATTGTTGGAATGAGTGCCACTCTGGGAAATATTAAAGATCTGCAGACGTTTCTGAAGGCTGAAAACTACACAAATGACTTCAGGCCTGTAAGTGACAGAGCAAACATTCAGCTTTTACCAGAGCTTCGGGTACAGGTGCATATTTTAATAGACCTATCGGATAAATTCTAAGGGGATTAGGTGCAACACTTCCAGATTTGTTACTGTCAGCTAGACTGGTGTTTTAGAATAATGCCAAACTGAAAAAGAAATCTGTGAATCTTTGGTGAACGGCTGTAAACTCTTCCATTTTTCAGGTTCAGCTGAAAGAATATGTTAAAGTAAACGATACGATCTATGAAGTCGACCCAAAGGAAGAGAACTGCTTCAGATTCTCACGACTGCTGAACTTTAAAGTAAGTTCAATCTTACCTTTCAGCAACCAGAGCTTCCCGAGTGCTACCGTTTATTTTGATCACTTTGTAATATTGTTATATTAGATGACTTTTCACATGCTCGTAGCAAAAATATATAAAACATTGGGCACATGAAAGTTTGCAACCTTTTAATGAGTGTTTCCAAACTTCTTAAAGTATATTTTTATCATTTTAAAAAAGGATTCTCACGATGATTTCTACAACTTGAAAAAGACTGAGTGGAAAAGCAGCCAATGTTCTATAAAAATGTTTGAAAGACTTTCAAAAAGACCAGGAACCTTTTGCTCAAATTCACTTGATATTAAATAAAGTCTGGCTTCTTAAAGCAAGATACAAAGGGAAACATGGATGGATACTTTTGCACAATACTGGAAGAGGATTTTGAGAAACTTTTTGTCAAACTGTACAAAAAGAACTAGAGAAGTTGTATATCCTGTGAAAATGCAGTGTGAATGCTTATTATTGAAGAACGTGTTGAAAAACAGCTGAAATTAGCTTAAAACATGCTGAAATGGAAGAAAAAGCCTTAAGTTTGCAAAATAAAGCAGAGAGAACATATATTTGCTGAATTAGGTTTAAATAAGTAGAAATTGGCACAAAATTAGTTTAATGTGATTGTTGAGTACATGTTCCACCTCACTGAACCATCACCTCTGGAAGCCTCGACTGAGCTGTGCGAGAACTTCTTACATTTCTTTTTGGCTCTCATTTCCCCTCCTACTCATGATCCATCCATCCCACCTCAATCTGTAGCTCCATTTGACCATTTTGAACCCATCACTCTGTATCTTCTCTAGAGCAGGTCATGTGCAGCTTGAAACCTTCTGGTTCCCCCTTTGATGTGGTCCCCCCTCGACTACTAAAGGAGGTTTTTCCTACTCTTGGTCCATCCTTTCTTACTATAGTAAACAGTAGTTTATCCACTGGCGTGGTGCCAAAAACCTTTAAACATGCTGCTGTCCAGCCTCTCCTTAAAAAAAAAAAAAACCTAGACCCCTCAGTCATGTCCAACTTCTGGCCTGTCTCCAAACTCTCATTTGTTTCTAAAATACTGGAGAAAACAGTTGAGTCCCAGTTGAAGTGCTTCCTGGAGGAGCACGCCATCAGCTATTCCAATCTGACTTTAAACCTATCCACAGCACTGAAACTGTCCTATTGAAGGTTTTTAATGACATCTTCAGATCCACAGATACCGGTGATTCTGTGCTGCTTGTCCTATTAGACCTCACAGCCGCCTTTGACACCATCGACCATGAGATCCTCATTGCTAGGTTGGAGCAGTGGGTGGGCGTCACAGGGTCAGCCCTCAATTGGTTCGGATCCTACCTCGCTGACAGATCCTTTTGTGTCTCCATCAAGGATTTTAGTTCTGCAGCGACAGAGCTAAATGGGGATTCTGCAGGGGTCCATCCTGGGTCCCCTCCTATTCTCTTTATACCTGCTGCCACTTGGTGCTATTTTCCGGAAACATAACATACCATTTCACTTCTACGCCAATGACTGTCAAATTTACTTCCCCCTAAGACACAATGGTACATGCTTTATTCAACCGCTGCTCAACTGCCTGGCTGACATCAGGGACTGGATGGCTTTAAACTTCTCCAGTTTCAATGAAAAGAAGTCTGAAGTCATGTTGTTCCCTCCCAACGACACGATCACAAACCACTGCATCGACCTTTCCACTCTAACCCTGTCAGAAAAACAAAGAGTCACTAATCTGGGAGTGATAATGGACCCTTCCCTGAAACTTAACAATCATGTAAACATGATTGTTAAATCCAAAAAAGTTCAATCTGGTCCTCTGGACATTCAAAAAAACAAAACAAAGCAAAAAAATATAGAAACGTTTCGTCTCTCATCCGAGAGACTTCCTCAGTCTGAGGTGCTGTATTCAGCTCAGTCTCTTAAATAGCACCTTCTCAGAGTGGATCAATCAGTTTTGCTGCTGACAACCAAAACCAGCTGCTCACATGCTCAAGAAGGACCATCAGCCTAACAATGGATCATTAGCACACTGATGGCTGTTTACTGTTCACAGAGGGCTGAGTGATACTAGCAATCACAGCATTGTAAGAGGGGGACAGTTGAACCCGGAGGCGTCCACCCCTGTTTAATGATGGACGATTTCTTTTCACAAAGATGGCCTCCTTTACTCCTCTCTCAAACCATCGTTCCTCTCTGTCCAGGATGTGAACATCTTCATCCCCGAAAGAGTGACCACTGGCCTGGAGATGAGTGTAGACCGCAGAGTCCTGGCCTGATGATGTTGATCCAACATCGATCACCAACTCTCGGATGAGAGACGAAACATTTCTATATTTTTTTGCTTTGTTTTGTTTTTTTGTTTTTTTGAATGTCCAGAGGACCAGATTGAACGTTTTTGGATTTTTCTACCTGGATTATTGAGCATGCATCAGGATGATTGTTAAATCATGCTTCTTCCAACTGAGGCAGCTGTCTAAACTGAAGCCCATATTGTCCAAAAAGAACCTGGAGACAGTAATACATGCATTCATTACATCTAGGCTTGATTACTGCAATTCGCTCCTGTTTGGTATCAGTCAGACCTCCATTGCACGACTACAACTGGTCCAGAATGCAGCAGCCCGATTTTTAACCAGTACAGGCAAAAGAGAGCACATTACACCAGTTTTGGCCTCACTGCACTGGTTACCGGTTCACCTTCGAATCCAGTTCAAAATACGTATGTATGTCTACAAATCGCTGAACAGTTTCGCGCCCCCCCACCCAATCTCTCTGATCTGCTACAACCGTATGTCCCACCACGTTCCCTGAGGTCAGCGGACCAGTTGCTCCTCACAGTTCCAGGAACTCATCTTAAGTGCAGAGGTGACAGGGCCTTCTCTGTAGCAGGACCAAGACTTTGGAACGAGTTGCCTCTGCTTGTCAGACAGGCCCCCTCCCTCTCGGTTTTCAAATCCCGTTTAAAAACCCACTACTATTCAGTAGCTTTCAACACCAGAGGATCTGTGTTTTGAACTTGTACGCTCCACACTGGTTTGTCATCATATTTATTATCTGTATCGTTTTTATGTCTATATTTTTGATTTACTTCATTTTGTATTTTTGCTTTGTGTGTTACCTGTTGTTTTGTCTGTACAGCACTTTGGTTGGTCTTGTCGCTGTTTTAAGTGCTCTATAAATAAAATGGTATGGTATGTTTATGTTGTCATAAAGTTTTAATGATCCAGCTCAATGTTTGAGAAAGACCCGCACTGGGAAACTTCTTTCTGCTTTTATAGTTAATCTACTGCAGTTTTTTTTGTGTGTGGCAAATTTCAGCTTTTTCAAGATCATTTCCACGTTTTTGTGCTCATTTCTGCTTCTTTCAGCAAACGTGTTCTGTCTGCTTTCTTCTGCTAATTTAAGCTTGTTCTATATTTTCAGCTACATTTTTTATCATGTTTTAGTTTTTTTTTATTTGTTTTCAGAAAAATCAAGTTTTACATGTTAATTTCTGCTACTTTCAGCCTAGGTTAACTTCTTTATGCTAATGTCAGCTTGTTATGCTATTTTCAGCTTCTTTCTACTAGTTTCAACTTTTTCTACTATTTCAGCTTTTATTTTGTTGTTTTTTTGCTAAATGTATTTTTTTCAGCTAATTCCACATTTTTTAACTCCTTTCAGCTCCTTCCACTTCCTTCTGGTAGTTTAAACCTTTTCGGATACTTTTCAGCTTTTTTTGTTGTTGTTGCCAATTTCAACTTTTCAGAATGAAGTGGAGAGAGCACACTTTTGCTGAATTAGACTAAAAAAAAGTTTAAACGAGTGCAAAAAATATGGAATTACCGTAGATGAAAAGGCAAAAATTAGCATCAAACAGCTAAATAGTAGCTGAAGTACCAGAAGCTAGTGAAAATGAGCTGAAAGGAGCATAACGAGCTGAAATTAACAGAAAGAAGTTAGAAGAAGAAGAAAAATGTTGTAGTTAGCAGAAAGAATCTGAAAGAAGAACAAAACAGCTGAAATTAGCTGAAAGTTGCTGAAAAAAAGTTAAAATTTGCACAAAAAATCTGAAGCAGAACAAAATGTGAAAGGAGCAGTAAAAGGTTGTAAACAGATCTAAAGATGTGAAGGATGTAAAATGAGCTCAATTCATTTTCTACGAGGAAAAAAAATGGCAGAAAAGGCTAAATATTTCAAAAAGCTAAAGTTGCACCAATACCAAAATCATGGCACCCTTCACCTGAATGAACTGAACGTTTGATTTATGATTTGTTGAAATGGCACAAAAATGGTGGAACGAGAAAGATGCTGAAAAATGAACAGAATAAAAATGGATCACAACAGTGTGAATGTTTCATAAACATTCACACAATTTTACTCAAATGCTACTTCATACTACGTACATGCGTTGATCTTTTTGCTCTGCAGTATTCCAGTGCGATGCAGAAGATTGACCCCGATCACATCATCGCTCTGGTGACCGAAGTCATCCCAACACACTCGTGTCTGATCTTCTGCCCCACCAAGAAGAACTGCGAGAACGTGGCAGGGATGATCTGCAGATACCTGAAGGAGTGAGTCAATTGTGCGTCAGATTTCTGCTGTGCACCGACTGCTTCAGAGCTCCTGTTTTCTCCCTCGCAGGCAGTTCCTGCAGCACCGCGAGCAAGAGAAGACCGTCCTCCTGCAGGAGCTGAGGGACAGTGGGAATGGCTCGGTGTGTCCGGTGCTCAGGAGGGTTGTACCGTACGGCGTGGCCTACCACCACAGTGGGCTGACCTCAGAGGAGAGGAAACTAGTGGAGGCGGCCTACTCTGACGGCGTGCTCTGCCTCCTCACATGCACCTCCACCCTGGCTGCAGGCATCAACCTGCCTGCCCGCAGGTGAGGTCACAGCTGGTCTCTCCATTTCAGTCCAACACATCTTTGAATCCTTCGTCATGCCAGTTACAACGCTCAGTGCAGCTATATGTCATATTCTGTCTTCCTCTTCATTTCTACTGTATTTTTCAGCCTATAAGTCACAGTTTTTAGCATAATTGCATACCTTGCGACTTATGCACCAAAGCAACTTATTTATGTATTGTTTTCCATATTTATAAACCAGTTTTTGGCTGAGATATGACCGTTTTCATTCATTCTGACTGGAAATATTGAGCACTATCATTTTCAGCTGCTAGATAGCAGTTGGGGAGTATGGCATGCCATTGTGTCTCGTAATAGATAAAAGTGACTATTAATGATGCAGTCAGCTTGCCTTAGCAGCCATCTTCGTCTAACTCGCTTGGAGCAAACCGCAGCCGACATTTGGCAGCCAGTCGATTTTTGGCACAACACTGCCGGCCCACATTTCCGGGTTGTCAGCGGTGAAGCATTATAGATGTGACTTATACAGCGAAGCAACATATTTATGGATTTTCCCACTTTGTTAGACATATTTGGACAGATGTGACTTATAGGGCGGTGCGACGTGTATGGTGGAAAATACGGTACTTGATTTCTGTTTAATCAAATACAGCAAAAAAGTTGCATTTCCTCTCAATGTATGAAGGTTTCTCCTACATTTCCTTGTGTGGAATACGTTTACGTGCCTAAATAATATAAATGTTGTATTTGTGGTGCATCAAACCCACTGAACACATTAAAACTGAATTTCTTCTTCCTGTATGATCCCTCTCTGTTGTCACTGTCCTGCCTGCAGGGTGATCCTGCGCTCGCCCTACGTGGCTACAGACTTCCTGAAGAGGAGTCAGTACAAGCAGATGGTCGGGCGGGCGGGTCGAGCTGGGATCGACACGGCAGGAGAGAGCATCCTTATTGTGCAGGAGAAAGACAAGAATATGGTAACTCCTTCTCTTCAGTGGCCTTTACATAAAAGGATGTGAAAGTCTGATAGCGGAACAAATGTTTATACAAGTTTTGTATTTTTCAGTTTTCTAAGTATTCTGTCTGTTGAGATTTGTGTAATACGAGCAGGCATACATCAAGTTTAATTTAGAGAAACTGCAAATAATTTGTTGTTTCATCTAGATGTTTGTTTAAATGCACTAAGGAAAAGAAGTTTTAGCTTCAAAAGGTCTCGAACGTTAACGTGTTTATTTTTTGCCAACAAAAAAGAAAACTAACATTTTTTATTCATCCTTTATTTATGCAGGTTAGTCTCATTGAGCCTCGAGGACTCATTTACAAGAGAGACCAGATTTTAACAAAGAATGATGACAACAGTAGAAAATCATAAAAGAAAGCATATAAATAAATAAATAAAAATGGAAGGAAATGATTTTAAAAAGCAAAACAAAAACAGCTACATAAGGCGATGTAAAATACTAAAAACAGGAACGTGTCTGCATTGGTTTTTGCCATGAACTTATCAGATGTTTGAATATTGAGATACATATCGTATATCGCGATTTATCGTGTAAAACTCAAATGTATCATGTCAGGGTCAAAACTGACCTGAGATGAAACAATAACTTCACAAACATTATTTACTGTGGTGATACACGAAACATTAATTTGTCCTTTTCTTGTTGGTTATTTGATAAAAATTAAAAAAAAAAAACGGGTGCTTTAAACATAAAAACTAAGCAGCATATTCAAACAGCTGTTGTGGCTACTGCTAATCGTAGGGCTGGACAATAATTCGATATCGATAAATATCATGATACACTTTTATTCAATAACGGTGATATGAGTTTTAAGCACATTTTCAATATTTCAATATATGTTTCACTGACACATTTCTTTTTCTGTTTGGGTTGAAGCGGCTGCTTCAGTTTCAACCTGAACAGAAAAAGCCGCGACACATCTACGTAAGTGCGTGGTGACGTACACCACACATAGAGCTCGAGTCCTGAAGGAATCAGCGGTGGCTAGGCTAGGCTAGGCTCCAACGCGTGGTAAGTTTTCACTTCAAAATGATCTAACTTGTCGTCATCTAACTTGTTCCACTCGATAGAATATGCTGAGTCAGAAGATGAAGCACAATAAAAGTTTGAGCCAACGTGTCCCTGAAACAACACCCCCAGCTGTGTTAATATTGACAAAGTTGAGAGTTTTATGTTTATTTGACGGTGATTTCAAATTTTCTGAAGGCTAAATACAAATAAAAGGTGAACATTAATTTATTTGCACAGTTTTTCTGAGGCTTTTATATTGTTTATATCAATGTTGGAATTATATCGTTATCAACCGACATTAAGAAATATATCGTGATAAAAGTTTTGGCCATATCGTCCAGCCCTAGCTAATCGCTAATGTGCCTATTTCAACAATACATTGGTTTTGTTAAATCTAAATATATATTTTGCTTTTGGAAAAAATATCTAAATAATGTGTGTTTGTAGCATTAAAAAAAAATTGACCTCCAAAGTAAACTTTGGACATTTAGACATTTTACTTCAGCATCAAACTAGCAGTGATTGTATTATAGTTGTCAAAATCCAACCAGCTAACTCTTTATGTTTTTTATTTTAGGTCCAAGCACTGGTGTGTTCCCCGGTAGAAAACTGTTTCAGTAACCTGATGCACGATGACGGGAAAGGCGTGCTGAGCCTCATTCTTTCACTAATCGGATTAAACGTAAATTCTTTGTTTCTAATTTATGCTCGTGTGTTTGAATCCAAACATTAGCTTGAAGTGCACATGTAGTTCAAAACACCACTCTCATGGTGATTTTCATTTATTATTTGTCTTTTATTTTGAAGTCTTGTGAAGTTTGATCTACTTGGACACTAAACTTTTTTATATTTATTTCTTGTAGTTTTCTAAATATAATTTAGACGATATCCTTAAATGTTGCTAGTTTAACTAGGAGCTTGAAACCAAATGTTACAAAAAGTTCACCCATCCGTCCATCCATTTTCTTCCGCTTATCTGGGGTCGGGTCGCGGGGATAGCAGCCTAAGTAGGGATGCCCAGACTTCCCTGTCCCAGCTACTTGGTCCAGCTCCTCCGGGGGAATCCCAAGGCGTTCCCAGGCCAGCCGAGAAACATAGTCCCTCCAGCACGTCCTGGGTCTTCCTCTGGGTCTCCTCCCGGTGGGATGTGTCCGGAACACCTCACCAGGGAGACGTCCAGGAGGCATCCTAACCAGATGCCCGAGCCACCTCAACTGGCTCCTCTCGACGTGGAGAAGCAGCGGCTCTACTCTGAGTCCCTCCCGGATGATCGAGCTTCTCACCCTATCTCTAAGGGAGAGCCCAGACACCCTGCGGAGAAAACTCATTTCGGCCGCTTGTATCCGAGATCTCATTCTTTCGGTCACAACCCAAAGCTCATGACCATAGGTGAGGGTAGGAACAGATCGATCGGTAAATTGAGAGCTTCGCTTTTTGACTCAGCTCTCTCTTCACCACGACAGACCGGTACAGCGCCCGCTTCACTGCAGACGCTGCACCTATCCACCTATCGATCTCACGTTCCATTTTTCCCTCATTCGTGAACAAGACCCCAAGATACTTGAACTCCTCCACTTGGGGCAGGACCTCCTCCCTGACCCGGAGAGGGCACTCTACCCTTTTCCGGCTCAAGACTATAACCTCGGATTTGGAGGATCTGATCCTCATCCCGGCCGTGTCGCACTCAGCTGCGAACTGCTCCAGCGAAAGCTGTAGATCACGATCTGATGAAGCCAATAGGACCACATCATCTGCAAAAAGCAGAGATGCAATCCTAAGGCCACCAAAACAGATCCCCTCAACACCTTGACTGCGTCTAGAAATTCTGTCCATAAAAGTTATGAACAGAATCTGTGACAAAGGGCAACCTTGGCGGAGTCCAACTCACACCGGGAGCGAGCCCGACTTACTGCCGGCAATGTGGACCAGGCTCTGACACCGGTCATACAGGGACCTAACAGCCCGTATCAAAGGGCCCGGTACCCCATACTCCCAGAGTATCCCCCACAGGGTTCCCCGAGGGACACGGTCGAACACCTTCTCCAAGTCCACAAAGCACATGTAGACCGGTTGGGCAAACTCCCACGCACCCTCCAGGACCCTGCTGAGAGTGTAGAGCTGGTCCAATGTTCCACGACCAGGACGAAAATCGCACTGCTCCTCCTGAATCCGAGGTTCAACTATCCGACGGACCCTCCTCTCCAGAACCCCCGAATAGACCTTACCAGGGAGGCTTAAGAGCGTGATCCCCCTGTAGTTGGAACACACTCTACGGTCCCCCTTTTTGAATAGGGGGACCACCACCCTGGTCTGCCAATCCAGGGGAACTGCCCCCGATGTCCATGCAATATTGCAGAGTCGCGTAAGCCAACACAACCCTACAACATCCAGAGCCTTAAGGAACTCCGGGCGAATCTCATCCACCCCTGGGGCCCCGCCACCGAGGAGCTTTTTAACCACCTCTGTGACCTCAGCACCAGAGATTGGCGAGCCCGACCCAAGGTCCCCAGACTCAGCTTCCTCGTGGAAGACGTGCCGGTGGGATTGAGGAGGTCTTCAAAGTATTCTGCCCACCGACCCACGACATCCCGAGTGGAGGTCAGCAGCACACCACCCCCACTATTAACAGTGTTGGTGGTGTACCGCTTTCCCCCCCCGAGACGTCGGATGGTGGACCAGAATCGCCTCGAAGCCGTGCGGAAGTCATTCTCCATGGCCTCTCCGAACTCCTCCCATGCCCGAGTTTTTGCCTCAGCGACCACCCGAGCCGCATGTCGCTTGGACTGCCGGTACCCATCAGCTGCTTCCGGGGTCCCACAGGCCAAAAAGGCCCAATGGGACTCCTTCTTCAGCCTAACAGCATCCCTCACCGCTGGTGTCCACCATCGGGTTCGAGGGTTGCCGCCACGACAGGCACCGACAACCTTGCGGCCGCAGCTCCGGTAAGCCGCCTCGACGATAGAGGCACGGAACATGGCCCACTCGGACTCAATGTCCCGCACCTCCCCTGGAACATGTTCAAAGTTCTCCCAGAGGTGGGAGTTAAAACTCCGTCTCACAGGAGACTCTGCCAGACGTTCCCAGCAAACCCTCACAATACGTTTGGGTCTGCCAGGTCTGCCAGGTCTGACCGGCATCCTCCCCCACCATCGGAGCCAACTCACCACCAGGTAGTGATCAGTGGACAGCTCCGCCCCTCTCTTCACCCGAGTGTCCAAGACGTGGCCGCAGATCAGATGAGACGATAAAAAGTTCAGTTTACAAGTAAACTGGATCTGTTTGTATATCTTTTTTCAGTGACATCGTCGTGTCTGAGCTCTGTGGTTTGACTTGCTCTGTGCTTGTGAGTGGATGAATCTGAGCTGGTGGTCTTGTGTTTGCAGATCACCACGTCGCTGCAGCAGATTCAGGACTTCCTGCATGGCACACTGCTGTTTGTGCAGCAGCAGCAGCTGTGCATGGAGAAGAGTCTGTGGGACGTCGTGCTGCAGTGTGTCGACATGCTGAAGGAAAAAGACCTCATCACCGTCAGCGATGCAGACCTTCTCAGTCCAGCGCTGCAGATCACCAAGCTGGGGAGAGCTGCTTACAAAGGTAAACCCCAACTGGACCTCCTCTCGTGGTGTCACTCACTGTATAAAGGTGTAGTCTATCAACAAGACACCTAATGAAATCAGTCTGATATATGTTATTAAGCTTCCAGTATACTGCCGCGTATGTCCGTACACGTGTACTGTACGCAGAGGGTTCAGACTTCAGACTCCAGCGTACACCCCGAGCAGCTGCAGAGCAGCTTCACAGACAAGGGGCGTTTACCTTCGGGACAAATTGAGGTCGCCGATTGGTCATTTGCTGACACGTCTACTGGATTGATTGACAGGTCGGGGTGGTGGGGGTGGGGGGGGAGCGCTGGCAGCCTCAGCCACAGCGGTGTTCTGTGTTTATATGTTAATAAAAAGATCTTTAAAAAAAAAAAACAGGGAGCGCTGGCTCTGCAGCCCACCAGGAAATCTCCAGACCCTCCCGCAGCCATGCTGGACCTGAGTTTAATTCGCTCGTGACAAATTCCTCCATTTCTCACCATTTCAGTCATGTTATCAACGGAGGAGGAAGAAATCACTGCCTCTTGGCAAAATAACAAAAGAAAAGGCCAGATCAGAGATGAAGAAGGGGAATTTAATACATTGGTGTTGCATACAATACAGTCCGTCGTTTGCCAGTTTATTGTGTGACACAGCGTACGCGTATGCGGTCGTAAAAATTTGAGCTTTGCACGGACATGCCCTGGGGGGTACGCTCGTACCTCTGCGTACGTTTGTGCGTACCTCTGCGTATGGACGTACGCGGCAGTATACTGGGGGCTTTAGGCCTCATGGTTTTCCTTTTTTTAAATTTAAAGTATTTAACACCAAATATTTAGTTTTGCTTTTTGTTTGTTCGTTTTTGTTTTCTCCACAGATATTGTTGGAACTGTTGATGTTGCTGAGATGGTTTCAGTTTCCAGCATTTGTTTTTTGTTATCTAAGAAGTTAAACAAAATTAAACAAACGTTTATCCTGTTTTGCCTTTCATATAACATTGCATTTTGGAACTGGTCTGAATAAATCTTTATTTGTTTTGGGTTTATTGTGATAAGAGACAGGAACAGAACAGGAAGTGTAATAAAAAAAGGAGTCAAAAAGGATGGCAACGTTCTTTAAAGGTTCATTTTTTTCAACTAAACCGACTGAAGGTGGTCTGCTGTGGTCTTTGGCCATATTTGTTGTGTTTCTACGTGATAATTCATCATAGTGTAAATACACTTACATGTTTGTTTTTTATTGAATGGCAACAATTTGACCGCTCACTTAATACCTGTTCCACTTCATTTCAGATCAATATTGTTTACAATTCTTGTTTTTAACATTACAATGCTGTTTTTTATAGTTGAGGAAGAAATCCACACCATGCAACTATAAAATTATATTACAACATTCCAATTTACATATGGAATTACATGATCAAGTTTTGGTACCACTTTACAGTAAGGCTCCCCTTATAGATGGCTAATAAATAGTTT